CAAGAAACGAGGAGCTGACGTTTTGGAAAGAGCAGTCGGCTTTCCCAGGTGAGGACGGAGCCAGCAGCTTGGTGACCTCTGCCCCCGTCAGCGGGTCAGCAGCCCCGCCTCCCCCTCTGCCTCCTAGCACCTTTGCTAATGGCTTTTCCTCCATCTGGGATTCTCTCCTCACCTATTTCCGCCTGTCAAAATTCCGTCCTTCAAGGCCTCCAGTCGCATGCTACCTCCTCCATGAAGCTTTCTTTGCTTTTCCCATTGGGGTGTGCTAACTTCCTCCTCATCTCTCCAATATATCTCTATAGTGATGATTCCCAAGTTCATGTTTCCAGTAGAGGCCTTCCCCCTGAACTCCAGACTTGTGCATCCTTCTGCCTATTCAACGTCTTCAGATGGAGGGTGAATAGTCTTCTCATAATCAACATGTCCACCCTGTCCACTAGCCAAGCTTGCTCCCCTGCAGGCCCCCATCTCAGGTCACGGCTACCCCACTCCTTCCAGGTGCTCAGGCCCAAACACGGCGAGCCATCCTTCCTTCCTCCTTCTCTCACACCCTACATCTCATCCATCAGGCGATTCTGCCTCTACCTCCAAAATAAGCCAGACTCTCGCCACATCTCACCACCTCCACTGCTGCCACCCTGGCCCCAGCCCCACTCTCCTCTGGCTTGGATTACCACAATAGCCTCCTACGGCTATGATTCTTTCAAATCCTAAGTCATATCATATCATTCTTCTGCTCAAAACCCTGCAACAGCTGCCATTTTACTCAAAGTGAAAGTCAACTTCCTTAAAACATTCTGGCAAGCTCTGCATCCCAGGCCCCTGTTAGCTCTCTGACGTCGTCTCCTACTACTCTCCCCGGCAGGGTAATCTTCAGCTGTCCTTCGAAATCCACTCTCCACTCTTCTCTGCCCTGTTCTGTGCCCCCAGGAGGCTGGCCCTTCAGGCTTCCTCAACATTGCTCTCTGAGCCTTTGGCTTCCAGTTGTATTCAGTCGATGGGAGGATGGGAGGTGAAAGGATGGAGTGTTTATTCCTCTGGCCCCTTGCACCCCTGGCCTTGGCTAGGCCCTGGCTGTGTTCCTCTGTTAATGACACAGCTCCTGTCATCAGCCCCGCAGACAGCTCTTGCTAGGTTCCAATAATCACTCTCTCCTCTTGTCCCTTCATGCTTAGGGGTGTTCATGCTCGTTAGTATTCCTAGCCCTGGGGTGCCTCGCCCTCTCTGCTGGTTTTCTTTAACCCTGCCCACACCTTTGTGAATAGCTCCTTCTTTAAACTCACTTTACTCCTTTGAGGGCACCCTCTACTTCCCGTCCCTTTCTCACTCTGCTCAAGTTACTCTCTCCTCTGCTCTTCCTCTAGCATGCTGGGCATGCTGCTGCCTCAGGGCCTTTGCACTGGTGCTTCCCTTTTCCTGGCAGGCTCTTTTCCTGGATGCCCATGATCCCCTCTCATGTCCTTTCAGTCACTTAGTTGTCACCTTTTCAGTGACAACTTCTCTCCCTGCCTTTTGAAAACTGCAGCCCCTCTTCTCTAGGAGTCTCATTCTTTTTTTCCCATAATATTTTCCACTATTTAGCATATTACATAATTTACTGATTTATTCTTCCCTCACTAGAATGTAAGCTACACGAGGGAGAGATTTTTGTCTGTTTTGTTTACTGCTGTATCCTCACAACTTAGGTCAATCCCTAGATGTAGTAGACGTCTATAAATATTTGTTCACTGAATAATGTGCTTGAATGAGTGACATGTTGTTCTCATCTCTGATGGGGTCTGCATTAGTTTCCTGTGTCTGACCTTAAAAAGCATCACAAACTAGGTGGCTTAAAACAACAAAAATTTATTGTCTTCTAATTCTGGAGACTAGAAGTCCAAAGTCAAGGTGGCTGCCTGGCTATGCTCCCTCCAAAACCTACAGGAAGGATCCTTCCTTGCCTCTTCCCAGCTTCTGATGGCTTGCTGGCAATCCTTGGCTTCCCTTGGTTAGCAGCTGCATCTCTCCAGTCTCTCCCTTCATTGTCACGTGGGCTTCGCCTTGTGTGTCTATCTCTTCACACGGTGTTTTTTATAAGGACACCAGTCATATTGGATTAGGGGCCTACCCTACTCCAGTATGAACTCATCTTAAATAACGATGCCTACAACAACCCTATTTCCAAGTAAAGTCGCATTCTGAGGTACTGGGGGTTAAGTCTTCAATATATTATTTTTGGGGGCACAGTTCCACCCATAACATCATAAGTGGTTTTCAATTTTTCCCTTGAATTATAGTACCCATGAGCATATCTTATTATCCCAACTAGATTGTAAATCTTCCAAGAAAACAAATTCAACTTTACATCTGAAGGGGCAAACTGGCTTCTCTTGGGCTGGGTTTGGCCTGCAGGCGTGTGGCTCTGCCCTGAAGTACTGGCCCACACAGTGCTTAGGAAGATTATCTCGATTAGTTTGTGAACATTTAAAGGTTTGGAAACTTGAAAATCTGGATGTCTGGTTTCCATGACAAGTCAGAATGTCTGGTCACATACCAGAGGAACGTTGCACCATGTTCCTCATGGCCTGGAGCCTAGCGGGGACTTCTGCTTAGACTGGGCAGTGCCCTCCTCACACCAAAGATTTATATACATCCTATTAGTTCTGTTTCTCGGGAAAACCTTGGCTAATATACTCTTCATTCAATTATATGTCTAATACCTAAGCCATTCCCACCACCTCCATTGCTACCACTTTGGTTCAAGCCATCATCATCTCTCTCCTGGATGTTACATTTGCCACACACCTGGAATCCCAGCTGCAGCCTATTTTCCAAGGAGTAGCCAGGAGTGAACCACAAGTCAATCATGTGACTCCTCTATTTACTGTCTTCCATTGGCTCCCATCTCACTCAGAGTAAAAGTTGAAGTCCTAAGATGGCCTGCAAGGTCCTACACAATCTGGGCTCCTGCTGCTTTCTCTGAACTTGTCTCTATACCCTGCCCTGCCTCACTAGACTCCAACCACATATGCTTTCCCTTAACATGCCACACATGTTCCAGCCTCAGGGCCTTTGCACCTGCTGCTCTCTCTGTCTAGAAAGCTCTTCATTCTGGCTAATTCATCTGAGCTAGAAGTTGAATAGCACTGGTTTTTTCCATCTCAAGAGAAGCAATGACTTTATCCAGAATGGACCATTCATTTCAGATTTGCCAAAATGTGTGTCTCAACCAGCTGCCTCGTCAGGGTATCATCTCTGACAGATGGCCTTCCATTAGTTGGCCTTTATCATTTACAATTTCTGATCTCTGTTGCTACACCTGTATAAGAATAATGTGCAGGCAAGTCAAGGGGACACAATACATCTGAGCATTTGTCCTCATGTGCAACTTAGACCATGGTTTCTCTTCACTGTCTGATTCTCACGTACCTCCCAACGTTCTGAGTGGCTGCTTTCTAAAGAAACCCTTGCCTTTTTTTCTTAGGCCCAAGAAAACATCCTAATTCATACTTAAAACACTGTGCTTTGGTGAGGGAAAAGACATGGGACACATTATGGGACATGGATACTTTAAACAGATGTGCACAGAGAAAACATCTTCCATAGTGGCACTGTGATCAGAGACACCCTGTGCCCCCTCAGTCCCTGCCCTGCCCCAGCCCTCCTCTCCTGGGTCTTCCATAAGATGTCAGCTGGTCCAGAGGGGTCAGTATCAGATCACCTGATCCTTCCTCACTGTAGTCGCGGAAAGAGCTCATACAACGGAAGAGTGAAGCTCCTGGGCTGTGGAATCAACTAGACCTGGCTAACGCCCTGAATCTGACATTCACAAGTGGTGGGGCCTTGGACATCACTCTTCATTAGTTTCCTCACTTCCAAAATGGAGATGATATTGCCCACGTATGGCGCTGTTATGGGGCTTCAATGAAATAATGTATAATGAATGCCCGGCCCGTAGTAAACATTCAGTAACTGGGAGTCAAGAGGAGTCAGCATTGAATCTGAAGCCAGACTTCAGAGACAAGGGCGAGACCCTGTCACCTGGGGCTGAGCTGGTGTGTGCAGTGGACACTCCTGACCACTCCAGTGAGACTGACCCCTAGGCTGTTCTTCCTAGAATAGAAACTTGACCAGGCCACCTCCCTCCTCAAAATGCTTATGACACTGCCCTCCAGTCCATCCTCCAAGCGGCCTGCAGGGCAGGTGGTCAGGACCCTGCCCTCTCTCGGCCCACACCTCCTCACTCTGTGGACACTCACCACTGAGCTTTGGCATCAGGAAACGTTAAGGAATTAGTGATCCTTGAGCTTGGTTGTCAGATCAGATGTGTCTCTATCTAACCTTGTTGGCATTCAGCCATATTTTCTCCATCTCTTTTGGGAGATTTTCTGAAATTCAGCCACACCGTGTCAATTGCATTCCCCTGCTCTGCTCCTTATCCAAAATGGAGGAGGAGTTGGTCTGGTGTGACCAGTTTTTGTGCATACTTGTAGCCTTAACATGCTTGGTCCTCTGTCCTTTCATCTGTAATATGCTGCACTCCATCAGATAACTTCCTGGATTCCTTCTGACCAAGACTATGGGAGCCAGTGGCTGGGGGCTTGCACGTTCACCAGCGAGGGGTGGGCTCGTTGATGCTCCTGGGGTTGAAGTGAGATGCTGCGCCCACAGCTCCAGCTTCACCCGGTTAGCCGAGGGAGGTGTCTGCAGAGAGGCCGGGCGGGGATCCCTTCCCAGTGGCAGTGTGCGCCAGTCAGTCAGGAGGGAGTGAGAACAGCAGCCTTGATTCCTGGGATGCTCGCTGCCCTCCTCCCCCGCCCTGACCGCCCCCACAGGAACCAAACTGTGTATCTGAATCCTAGAATGTGAGGAATGTACCACAGCCTGATAGGCATGAAGCAATCTGCAGAGAGGCAGGGAGGAGCTCTGCTCCCCAGTCAGAGGCCTGACAGTGCACAGGCTATGGGTCCTGAGGGCTGGGCTGCCCCTCCCACCCTCCCTGGGCCTCCTGCTGCAGCCAGGATATCAAAGGCTGCATTGTGCATTGAGCAGGGGCCTTGGTCCCTTGTGTGTCCGGGAGGAGCTGGGAGGAGGGACACAGTTGGAAGGCTGTACCCTCCCAGCGCTCTTCTGGCTGATATTCCCAGGGGTCTCGGCCTGAGGAGGATGGTGCACACATGGGTGGCTGCTTCTGCATCCCCGGGGAGCTTAGTCTGCCCTGGAGCCCAGGTGAGTTTTCTGGGGGACTCTAGCCTGTGGCTTGGCTGAGTTGGCTGTTTCAGTGAAGGCTCAAGGATCTGCTGGGGTGGGGAAGCTGCTCTTCCAAAGATGGGGAGATGGTTGTGAGTGCTGGCTCTCCCCTCCCTCCCTCATTCAGTATTTGTCACTCTGGCTTTGTGAAAAGGGAGTGAAGCCTGGGAAGCATCTACTTTTCCTGAAGAGAGAGGCTTTGAGCTGGCTCTGCGAGGAAGGAGTGCTGCTCTTGGCTGCCACTCCCAGGGTGTGACTAAGCCCTTCCTTCCTTCCTTGCTTCCCAGGATTCCCTAGGTCAGGAAGAGAGCTCAGGCAGTGAGTTCCTCTGGGACCACAGGCGGTCATAAACTTGGCCTCAGTCACTCAACCCTATTTTCATCAGGGTTGCTGTTACTGGAGAAAAACAGGCAGTTTCCTGCCTCCTACCTGTTACAGTGTGATTTTTTTTGGTATGTCCAGTTAAGGCCATGGAGAGTTGTTGCTCTGAGAAATTGTCAAGTCATCTGAGACTTGATGTAGGTGACTAACCATCTTGATTTGCCTGGGACCGAGGGCTTACCCAGGATGCAGTCAGTGCTAAAACTGGGGCAGTCCCATGCAAATCGGGATCGCTGGTCACCCTAATGCAAGCTCCTTGCTTCTTTTCAGAGCAGGGCCAAGGTGGGGCCCTGTGGTCTCGAGGATGGCATTTGTCAGGACGAGTGCTGGCTTTGGGGGAAGGAGATGGATTGGGAGAGGACTTGCTTGGGAGATGGAGAGTGTTAAGCCAAGGGATCATTCCTAACCCTTGTGAGGATTCCACATCTTCCTGGAGCATCACCACAGTTCCTTGGAAGGGAGCCCAGGAGATTCTCAGCCAAGGGCTGTCTACTCTCTGACAGATGACTTTTCCCTATAGTCTTGTGACCTGGGCTCACAATGTGAAAGGCACTAGAGATCCTTAAAACAAACCTGAAGCAGCCATGTTCTGCTTCCTCTGTTTGAAGTCCCAGCCTAGGGACCTTGGCACCTCCAGGAGGAGGAGGCTCCCAGACTAAGACCACCCCCGACCTAAAACTATACGCAAATAAAGTCCCACACAATGCCCTTGGCACAAAAGGCACAGCCTTCTGCTATGAAACATTTTGCTTCTCCAGATTTCTGGGATTTACAAACTTTTCAGATTCTCCTCCTAAATCCTGCTGTCATTGTGCCCCATGGGTGCAGACCTAGCACGAGGGTGGGGGAGCCTGAAGGATCACTGCTCTGCAAGCTGAGGACCAGATTCCAGATCTGACTCAGTCTCCCTCCACTGGGGCAGGCATCATTGTGGTTGATCACCTGGCCTTGAGGCCTGTCTGGATTTGATCTTGGTTCTTTGACTTGCCTTGAGCAATTTATTTAACCACTCTGGGTTTTAGTTTCCTCATCTGTAGATTTTATGATATAATTATGCCTTCCTCATAGGGTTGTGGCAGGGATTAAGTCTACGTGTGAAACACATAAAACAATCTGGCATGCAGTAAAGTAAGCACAATAAATGTTAGCCATATTAATTACATTTCTATGGCCATAGCATATCACACTCTCTCTCCAGGCCTCTATTTGCTCATCTATAAAGTGAACAGGTTGTAAACTCAGCCTGCGGAGGTGTCTTATGGAGCTCTGCCCCCACTCCCTGACCCCCAACTTCAGCTGGAGCAGCTCTGCTTCTGTTCGACATTCTGTCCTTCAGCTCAAGATTCCATGTAAAGGAGTTCTGCAGCTCAAAACAACCAACTAATATTGAAGTATCCTCAAAGTTCTTATGACACTATCATTCAATTATTTTATTCTTTCATCTGTTTTTTGCCATTGATAATTAGTTGGCATCCCGGATTCACTTTTTCACCAAGAGTCAGCTTGCTATTCTGTTGAGGCTTTTTGTGCTATCCCCCCTTACCGTTCTCCATACTTGTAGGGCCTTCCCCTAGGGAGGTTGATATGGGTGCTGTAGGTCTGAGGCCAGTTGATATAAACATTCCCTTCTAGGTTCCTCCATTTGTCCTAGAGAAATGGAATGAAGTATGAGACACATCCTGGAACAACTTAAAAGATGTGTGACTTTTGGCAAGTGTCTTATATTCTTTGAACCTCAGTTTTCCTGTCTGTAAACTGGATCTAATGGTAGTATCTATCATATGGAGCTTTTGTGACTGTTAAATCAGATATTTCATCTCATGGATTGAGCCCAGGGTCCAGCTTCTGAGAACTCCTCCGTAATTGTGGGCTGTTTTATTGTTAGCTAATAGGAACCACTCCCACATCCCTTCTTCCTAATTCTGACTCCAGTGGAGTAGGAGTCTGTGCTCATGTTTCTTTGGCTGCTTCTGCCATTGTGTCTCTTTAAGTGGGAGTAAACTGCGAGGACCGACAGTCCTCGGGTAAGGGAGGCAGGAAAAGAGAAGGCTCTTGATAGCACGGAGCCCCGGACAGCTGCCCAGCTGGTTTGCTGCGGTGTGACACAATGCTGAATGTTGGCTCTGATGACCCCCGGCATGCTGCGTTCTCTCACGTCTGCCTGCAGCATCCGTTCCCCTGTGATGTTGCTCGTCTGCTCACATAAATCTCCCGGTTGCACATGGTGAGAGGGTGGGTGTCCGGCCAACTGATATCATCTCTGACTTTCTGGACCCTTGGAGATTCTTGCCATTGTTTAATAACAAACTGTAGCTGCTCATTTAGGGGCACAGAGCATGTCATATCAAAGTTCGTTGGTCTAAAAGCTTCTAGCACCTCCCCCATATCTTCAACGCTTGCTTGAAGAGTTAGGCAGACTTACACTCTTAAACAGAGGATGTTGGAGAGAAACATTTGCCTCCATTGATCTCTGGTGCCTGTAACTTTACTTTCAACCTTTTTGGTAGATGCGAATCATCAGGATAATAATAGGAGATCGAACATGTATGCCGACAAGAGTAAATGATGCTTCACATTCGAACTTTAAAAAACTTGTCAGGCATTTTGAACTTACTGATAATAGAGAATATGAGAGCAATAAACCCACCATCTAGCTTTAGCAAATTTCTACTTTTTGCCATATGAGATTCAGAACTTCTTTATTCCTTTCTCTTACTTTTTGAAAAAATAAAACATAAGATACAATTAGGATCCCCTGGTAGTTCTTCCCAATCTCATCCCCTCTCTCCCTCCCCCAAATTAATCATTTTCATGAATTCAGTGGTTTTGTGCTTTTATTACATATTCATGTACTCATAATCACTGCAAAGAATTTATTTTGAAGATTTTTAAACTTAGACAAAATGATATCACTATGCAACTTGGTTTCTTTTTGCTCAACATTATGATCTGAGATATATCACGCAGATGGACGTAGCTGCAGTTCTAATTTGATGTTTGTTCCAGCCAGGACAGTGTGGGTTTACATCATAAAAACTGCTGGTGGTATGCTGTCGGGTTGAAGGAGGAAAAAGTACGTGGGTGGAGAAAAAAATCACGCAGGGAAAGGTTTACTGTTTAGTTTTCTTCCTAAAGTCGGAGGTGGTGGTGGGTGGGTAGGAGCAAGGAGAGACTGAGAGAGGAGAAATGGGCATGAAGTCTCATTTCCAGCAAGTTCTGTGAGTGATATGCTTCCTGGATTAGAGACTGAGGTCAGGTTAATGTAGTGGAAACAGCAAGGTCTGTACCCAGTGATCTGGATGGCCTTTGACTCTATCACTAACTTGCTGTGTGACCCTGGTAAAATCACCACTCGTCTCTGGGCCTTAGTTTCTCAATACCAAAATTAGGAGTGGAACTAAATGATCTCTTAAATCTCTTCTAACATTCATTTTCTATGATTATTGCCTCTTCCTCATTGTTATCCCTCACATTCAATATGTGGAGATGCCTTCTCTCTTCTGACTTTAAAATACGTCATTCAGTCTATTCTCTCACTTCTCGTTGATAAGATCACAGTCTGCATTCTCACACTTAGACCCCTAGAATGCCACAGCAGCTTTTCAGCTGGCCTGCCTGCCTCTCTTCCTCCTCTCTCCCTGTCCTTCCTGTGCCACCTCGGGTAGAATTTCCACTTTCATTATGCCACTCCCATGCTCAAGAATGTTTCATGACTCCCTATTGCTTGCTGCATCCGTTCTAAGTTCTTCTGCTTGCCTTATAATGCTCTCCCTGTCCTGAGTCTACTGTATTAATTTTAGCCCTATGATCACCTACCTCTCTGGTACATTCAGGCTGGCCTCTGCTGTCTCGTGTGCATGCAAAACTCATCCCTCCATCCTGCTGATCTCTTTCTGGTAATCATGCTTTTCCCCACCCATACAAATCTACCAAGAAAATAAAAGGCGAGCTGCCAACTAGGGATAATATTTGCAAACCACATATCTGATACTTGTATCCAGAACGTAAAGAAAAGAAACCTCTTATGACTCAGTAATGAGAAGGTAAATAACTCAATTAAAATGGGACAAAACGTTTGTACAGACACTTTCACTCAGAAAATATAAGGATGGCAAATAAGCACGTGAGAAAAAAGGCTCAACATCATTAGTTATTAGGGAAACGCAAATTGAAACAATGAGATAAAACTGTATACCTACTAGAATGGCTACTTAAAAAGACTGATATTGTCAAGTGTTGGTGAGAATGTAGAGCAACTGGAACTCTCTCACATTGCTGATGGCAATGCAAAATGGCACAGCCACTTTGGAATGTGTTTGGCAGTTTGGCAGTTTTTAAATAAATCTCATTGTTTTTTGAATTGAGTGTTAGTAACTTTTTCTGACCAATAATAATAGTAAAAATGAAACTAGCTGACACAAAAAGTAATTTATTGATTCATAAATGAAAAGTCTGGGAGCTGTTTGCTTGAAGTATGGCTGGATCAAGATATTCAAATGATTTTATCAGGAAGTTGTCTTTCCTAAGCTCTGTTTGAACTGGGTTGGCCTCAACCTCAGGCAGGCTTTCTTCCTGTGGTGGGCCCCACAGCTCCAGGCTGTCATATTCACAGTTTCAAGTGCTGTGGAAAGAAATCTTCTCTTCCCTAAGAGTGCTGATGAGGGTCCTAGGACCAGTTCTCATTGGCTTAACTTGGGTCACATGGCCATGGCACAGCATAGCCTGATTGGCCTATGCTTGAGTCATGTGCCCACTTTTGGAGGTAAGGGTAGAGTCAGCCCTATCTGAACCGCATAGACTGGGTTCATGTGGGTCACATGGCTAATGAAGAAGCCAGGGATTGAGTCCAGGACTGTCTGACTGCAGAGTCTTTGTTCCAAGCCACTTTTCTACCTGCCTCCAGTGTTAGAAAACAAATGCATGACCATTACAGAACATTTAGAAAGTAGAAAAAAGTCTAGAAAACGTGATTAAAAATGACTCAGCAGGGGCCGGCCCCATGGCTTGGTGGTTAAGTGCGCGTGCTCCACTGCTGGCAGCCTGGGTTCGGATCCCGGGCGTGCACTGGCGCACTGCTTGTCCAGCTATGCTGAGGCCGCGTCCCACATACAGCAACTAGAAGGATGTGCAGCTATGACATACAACTATCTACTGGGGCTTTGGGGGAAAAAATAAATAAATAAAATTATAAAAAAAAAAATGACTCAGCAATAGCCACCATGGATCATTTCGTTGATGTCCTTTCTGTCACTAAAAAAATTGTATATTTTTCCTAAAGTATTTAATTCTACATGATAGTTTTTTATTGCCTTGAATCATCTCTGGTTCTTTTTCAAGGCCCAGCTCAAGTCTTCGAATTCCTTCATGTTGAAATATAATTCCTTGTGTAAAAGAACTCTGTATACTGTAAATCCCTGTGCAACTATTAACTCTTCTTCCTATCAAAGAGCTCACTCTAATTTCTAGGTTCCTTGTTGCTTCTCAAGGAGCCACCCTCTGGCTCGTGGGTCCCAAGGCCTCTGGTGCATTGGCTCTTTCTACTCCAGAGATTCTCACACTCTAGACGGCATCAGAAATCCCCAAAGTGCTAATTAAAAATGCACATCTCCAGACTCTACCCTTAGATATTCTGAGGTAAGGTAGGTAGAGAAGGGTTCTAGGAATATTTTTAATTCATCTTTTATTAAAATTTACCATTCATACAGAATTGTGTATGAAATTATATGTGTACAGCTTGGTGAATTTATACAAGGTGAAGATATCCATTCATGCTGCTTCCTGTGGCTGTAATTCGTTTATTCTCATTGCTGTGTTGTATTTAATTGTACACACTATCCTTTACTTATCTATTCTAGTGTAGAGGAATATTTGAGTTGTTGCCAGGTTTTGGCTGCTCTGAATATTTTAGTAGATTTGTTTTGGTGAACGTATGCATGTATTCTTTTGAGTATATACCTAGGAGTAGAATTGTTGAATCTATGTTCAGCTTGAATTGATACTGTCAAAGAGTTTTCCAAAGTGAAAATTTTCACAATTTATTCTCACACTTGCAGTGTAAGACTTCCAGTTGCTGTGTATCCTAACACACGCTTGGCTTTATCTGTCTGCATTTTACCCAGTCTGTGGAGTGGTATTCCAGTGTGGTTTTAGTTTTCATTTCCCTGGTGAGCTTGAGAAAGTTTTCATAAATTTATTTGGCCATTTGGATATCGTCTTTGGTGAAATGCCTATTTAAGCCATTTGCTCATTTTTATGGCAGGTTGACTACCTATTTCTTAAAGGTTTTTAGCATTCTTTATATATTCTGGATTCAAGCTCTTCAATGAATATATATATTGTCTATAATTTTTCTATTCTGTCACTTACCTTTCACTTTCTTAATTGCATCTTTTGATTAACAGAAGTTCCTAATTTTAATGTATTCCAATTTACCCACTTTTTTGTGGGGGAGGGTAATGCTCTTTCCATCCTGTTTACGAAATCACTGGCTCCAAGTCATGCAGATATTCTTCTATATTTTTCTACAAGTATTTTTGTACAGGCATCTTTTACAAAACAAGTACCTAAGTAATTCTGATGCAGACTGTCCACAAATCACGTTCTGTGAAACTGCGATTTTCTGCTCTAAACCTCACACATCCTATGAGGGCTGTGTGCCCCGCCCTCTCCCCTCACCTCATGGGCCCTCATTGCCTTCAGGCCATTGTCTCTTCTCATGCAGTCTTACAGCAGGGACACACTCCCAAAGTTTGCCAGGGCCTGGTGTAAGTGAGTGACCTGACAGTGTGGGGACTGCGGTGGCCAGAGAACAAATGCCCTGTAAAGGCGTGGCAACCACTCAGCCCCAGCGGACTACTGCCACATGAGAACGAGGGCCTCAGGCTACAGATCTTCCAGTTTTCAAAGCAAAGCTGAGCATCTGAGTTATGTAAAATATCCCGCTTTCTAAATGATGTCAAGGAATTCAGACTTTAAAAATGCACTGTGTGGGCGAAAGAAAGAGAGAGAGAGAGAAAGAATGAAAGAAAGAAAGAAAGAAAGAGGGGGGTGGGGAAGGAGGGAGGAAGGAAGGAAGAAAGAAAGAGAGAGAGGAAGGAAGGAAGAAGAAAGAAAAGAGATGTTTGTAGGTTTGCTATGGCCTGTGGCCTCTGGTCTACCAGTTTCCAAACTTCGTCCTAGAGTAGAGAAGCAGGCACCACTCCAAGTGTGATCCTGGGACCAGGAGAAGCATCACCTGGGATCATATTAGAAACGCAGAACCTCAAGCTTTCAACCACTGAGGCGGAATCTGCATTTTATCAATATCCCAGGTGATTCATACCCACATTAAAGGTTTAGAAGCACCAATCTAGACATGTGGTTTTCAACACTGGCTCAAATTAGAATCATTCGGGGAACTTAATAAAAATAGCTACGGCTGGGCTGCACTACAAACCACATAAATCAGCTTTGCTGGAGATGAGGCCTAGGCGCCGGTATTTTTACAAAGCAACTCGGGCGATTCAAAGAGACAGCCAGGGTTGAGAAGCACTAACTGGGATCAATGCCTCATTTATGAGTGGGAAAAGTGAAATCTCAAAAAACGGACAGATGAAACGTCTTGCCCAAGACCACTTAACTAACGTGAGGGAGAATCTGATTTGTGCTCAACCTCCCATCTCATGATTCCCAAGCCAGTGCCTTTTGGCTACAGTTACTTTTGGTTCCTGGAGGCAGAACCACAAAATGATCTTGTTCAACGATAGCTCATCACTGCCAGCTTTCCAGCTAAGCTGCTTAGATTTCAGCACTGACCCCTAACAAGATTCACTGGATGAAGAGCTGTGAGCTGATGGGGCCCTCCTTCTGCCTATTCAAGCCAAAATCTATTTCATTCTCCCTGTACATCACCCAAAAAAGTGTTAACTGCTTCTGCTTTGAAGCACTGGAAGGTCCTCCCCTTGGGTCTCAAAATCTGGCTGCATAGGCACAGAGGGGGACTCCTGGCAGCAGCACGAGGATTTGGGTTCAGCACTAACCAGCAGTGACTGGAGGGAGCATGGCTGCTCTGTCCCCTGTTCCTCTCGGGCTGCATCAACAGAAGCACAGGTCCGGAATGCAAACGCGATAGGCCTGGTTGACTTGGACCCACCATCATTTTGCAATTGAAGAAACTGGGGGAATTAAATGGTTGACTCAGAAGTAGTGGTTGAGCCACAATTCCTAACCCCTCTTTCTAGGACCAAGTAACGCTTTTAATATTCTGACTCCATGGTATGATCCTTGAGCAGTTTCATGCTCAAAAGAACAGAGTAACCAAAAGTAATGTGTTCGGGACTTGAGTTCTCTAGTTGTATTTTGGGGATACCGTGAAGGAGGCCCACATTCCATAGCAAGACTTGTGAAATTCCTTCCTATTCTCTTACATCTTCTGCCTCATGCTTTATAGCTGCACTCTTTTCTCTAACTCTCTGCCATCAAAATAGCCTCCTCCCTCACTCTAGCCTGTGCCATCATCTTCTTTCTTCTCCTTTTCTCGCCAATTCTACAGCTGCAAAGACAGGAACATTTTGAAGAGTCGGGGAGGAGAGAAGTCCCATACAGGACTCTATTTAGTGGCACACAGAAGGACAGTCTGGGGACAATCATACATGTCAGGGCCATTAAAACCACACCCCAGTCAGCTCCCCAATGATGCCACTCTCCCTTGCTCTGGTCAAGCACTTCCATTATCCAGCCATTGGCGTTACACCTTGCTATAGTCAGATCTATAATGACTTTGTAGGCTCAACATATACTGAGCACCTTCAGTGTACTAAGCCATGAGACTCAGTCTGACCTGTGGCCGGGAATCTGTTTTTTTTTTCGTGTGTGTGTGTGAGGAGATCAGCCCGGTGCTAACATCTGCCAATTCTCCTCTTTTTTTGCCGAGGAAGACTGGCCCTGGGCTAACATCTGTGCCCATCTTTCTCCACTTTATATGGGATGCCGCCACAGCATGGCTTGCCAAGCCGTGCGTCGGTGCGCACCCGGGATCCGAACCGGCGAACCCTGGGCTGCCACAGTGGAGCGCGCACACTTAATTGCTTGCGCCACCTGGCCGTCCCCCCTTTTTTTTTTTTTTTTATTAAAATGGGGACACCCAGGCTGCTGAAGGATTGAGATAGCATGTATGAAATTTCTTTGATAACAATTGAGTACTAAATAATTATAAGGCAATGGTGATAACAACTAGAATTCTTCCATGCCACCAGCCCTGGAGAAAAATCGTTGCTTGACAAAAACTTGAAGTCCTTGCTTATAGCTTGCTTACCCTCTTACAAATGATCTTTCCTCTGATCGTCTCCAGGTAAAGAAACTCCTTCTAAGGATCCAACCACATCGAGTGAGTTTATATCTTCATCTGAAGACAAGGAAAAATGTTTCCTGCCACAGAACATGACTCCAGGTATCTAGACCTGCAAAACAAGTCCTATTTAAAACATATATATTTTCCATGTAGAATATTGCAATAACCTCCTTATCTCTCCCATCTACATGATCCCTCCTTCTTATCCTTCTGGGCACCACCAAATGTATCTTCGTAGGCATGACCTTGACTATGATATTCACTTGCTCACAAATCTTCCAATGCTCTCCATTGCCTACAAGATTAAGTTAAACCTTCTCAGGCTGACACTCAAAGCTTTTCACAATCTGGCACATATTAGGAGCTCCATACATATTTTCTGTATTAAAGAAAGTATATTATTGGTTAGATTTTAAGATGCTGAAGGGCAGGGGTGAATTTTTTTGAATAATTATGTATTCTAAATATATATAAAAGGATTATTTGTACATAGTTGGTGCTCAGAAAATGTTTGGTAAATAAACGATGAATAGTTGAGTAAATATGTAGAGGTCATGTCTGTATTCCACATAGTACCTAACATGGTACCTTATACATAGTAGGTTCTCAATAAATATTTGTTAAATAAATGGACAAGTGAATAAAGGGTTGAATATGTGTGGTGAGATTGACTGAGTAGAAGGGCATCTGTATGAATCATTCAGAAGCAGAAAAAGATTTTGAAATTAGTGTGAGAAAAATCTTATTCTCAGTACACGTCTCTCACAAGGTTCCCCTTCAGAGACCTCATGAAGCTGGCAAAGAGAGAGTTGTCATTAGAGAGAGCTACACTGGGCTGAACCTTGTACCAGAAACTCTGAGGATGACCCTGTAGATGACTCAGTGTCTGCTGTACAGTAACAGGGACCATTTCTGAGGGAAAACTATGTGCCAAGCATGTGCTAAATGATCCCCACATAGTCTTCTCATCCTCATGTGCTCACCTCTAGGAGGTGGCACCAAACTCACCATTTTGAAGGTGGCAAACAGAGGCTCAGAGAGAGAGGTGGCCTCCCCACTGACACACAGTTAATACTGATGAGAAAGGGACTCAATCCCTGGTCCTTGTTTGTAACCACGATGTTCTATTGCCCTCCAAAAATATACTTCTCTCTGACATACAGAATATAGATTTGTGAAAAAGATTAACATTATGAACGTTTTAAAGGACATAATTCATGTAAATAGATATTGTATAAATGTCATACCAGATGCTTTCATTTCCTCATTTCAAATTCGGTCAAACTTCTTGGTTGACAATGAGGAAAACCTTGTCCTTTGTTCTTGCTATTGTGTCAATCTGCTTATCTGTCTGTCAGCTTGGGCCACTCCTGCAAAAAGCTGAATCACCATCTGTTGTTCCATGAACGCAGTGGAGTCAGCATTTAACTAATCAACGCATGAAGGCCAATGAACAAAAGTTCCTGTAGGTGAAACTTAACTGACTGAGGCTGAACTTGTCCATCATTCAGCATTTTCAGCCATGTTGCTGTTTCCAGGAAGGTCACAGAGTGACAAGGGGAGACTTGGCTCCAGCAGTCAACCTCTCCTTTCTGTGGAAGAGTCAAAGACAGAATCAATCAGACACATTATCATGATTAAACGACCGGTTTTCAGAAGGATTAAAAAAATGACAAAATGCATTTCACACTAAAACTAGAGCGAACTTGAAATTTATTCCCCGTCTTGTGCAGCTGGTGATGTGGAGGGCGCTGTAGGGTCCGGCAGTAGGCCCAGAGGACTGCTCTGAGTATCAGCTCTTACTAGTTGGATCTCAAAAGCAGTTTACTTATCTGAATCCTGGTCTTTTGAGTTGCATATCCAAGGATTCACGTGGGTGGCAGAGAGCCACAGTGAAGGGACTGTTATTCATCAGGGGCTATTCTGAGTGAGATTCTAGAGGGGAGTTGGGATCAGGCTTTGGAAGGACAAGAGAGGCAGGTTTGGTGAAAAGGAATCACAGAATCAGTTTGAGTCAATGTTCGTTACAGGTGTGACAAGACGAGGGAAGCGAGAGCAGTAATTGCTGGAGGACTGGGGTGAGGGTGGGGGGTTTGCAAAGGGCAACTGCTAATGCTTAGTGTGTTTATTGAACATTTAATATGTACCAGGCACTGAACAAAAAGCTTTATATGCATAATCTCATTTAGTAAGCCTCTTAAAACCCCTGTGGGATAGGTACTCTACAAGCCATTCTGCTAACGAGAAAAGTCAAGCGTAGAGAGGTAATGAACTGTTCAGGGTGGCGCACTTAGCAAGGGCACAGCCAAGTCTTGAGCCCTGGGCCATGTGACTCCTCCTCCCCGGGTCACCTCCTCCTAGAGATCAGTGTACAGTGAGGCCACCAGACGGAGGGCTGGACCCGGACTTCTGAAGACGGAGGACTTGGATGAGATTAGGACACAGGCCAGGGAGGAACCGAGTGGAACAAACATCCAGCAATGTCAGGTCAGTTGGGCATGTTTTATTGGAGCTGGTCTGCAGCCACAGCATTGTCAGGACTTTTGGGTTAAAGACAGGCCTTTTAAAGGTAGGAGTCCAGGGCTGCCTTGTGGACCCAGGCCAGCATGACAGGGGCCGTCTCTAATGTGCTCAGGAATTTGCAAAGGCCCTGGCAAGTTAAGGCTAGAAGAGAGACCTCCATGACTATCCAGCCCGATGCCTTCTCGGTTCATTGTGTTTGATAATTATTAACAGGATTGCTACTTATTGTCTAAGGAAGACATGGCAAAGTGCAATTATAGGATGAACCTCCTCAGTGTGGCCTTTCTGGACAGCACTCTCCGAAGGCACACCCCACCCTCCAAGTGCTCCATCACCTTATCTCTATATTTTTACATTTTCTTCATAGCACTTTTCTCCATCTGAAATTATTGTGCTCATGGAACTGAGTACTTGCTGAGAATACAAGCTCCCTGAGAACAGGGAGCACGTTTATTTTGTTTCCTGCTGTTTCTCAGCACCTAAAACAGCTTCTGCTCACAGTATTGGTTGAATGAATGTGCATTTTGAAGAAATTAAAGATGGACATTACATTAGCCAATTACCCTGACAAACATTAATAAACGCATTAACAGAAAGAAACAGATTAGAAAATGTATATGTGTATGTACAATGCATAAAGTGTATAGTATCTATTACATAGCATAAATTTGACATACTAATACATTTCCATAAATATAGATAAGTTAGTGTTTGTCTGGAACTTGCACAAATCATCCACAGGAGGAAATATATATCCTAGCTGTTTCTATGTCAGCACCATCACCTCAGTGCCAGGCAGCATAGGAATAAACCCTGTACAAAGCAGAAATAACCAACTCGAGTGCAGGAACTAACTCCTGAGATTCCAGAACATTTCAGACTTCAGCATTTTTTTTTTCTGAGGGGAAATGTTAAAGAAGGTACTTGGAGAATCATTAAGATCACCTGTAATCTCTAACTAAGGAGGACACCAATTTAGGGTTTGGGTGTGGGAAACATTGGGGCATATCTAATTCTTTCTCCCCTTTTATTGCATTTCTAGCCTGATGTTTCTCTCTCTTTTTGCTTTAAGATCTGACGCTCTCCTTCAGTGTGAAGAGCCGCTCCAGGAGGTGTGTAAACGGCCCCTTACAGGAAGCGGCCAGGAGGCGACTTTGGGCGCTGGAGAATGAGGACCAGGAGGTGCGTGCACTGTTTAAGGTGAGCTTGGGCGGAGCGGTGCAAACTCTGAGCCTGCCTTGTGTCCGTCCGCTCCAGGCTCCTCAGCACCTAGGACAGCGCCAGGAACAAAGTAGGCCCTCAAGAAAACATCTGACTGACTGTGTGAATGAATGAAAATGTACACATTCCCTGCTCAACAAGAATGGGCAGGAACTCAGAATGGGGCAACCACTGGATTTGGACTCAGAAAATTTCGTTTCAAATCTACCACTGTTAGTTGTATGACCTTCCACGTTACTTGACCTCTGTAGAATGGGAATCATTACAACATCCACCCTCACTAAGTATACTTTTTTTTAATGTGGCAGATTTGAATTTTATTGTAATAAAATATACATAACATAAAATTTTCAATTTTAATCATTTTTAAACATACAATTCAGTGAAATTAAGTGCATTCACGTTGCTGTGTGACCATCATCACTATCCATTCCAGAACTTTTTCATCACCCCAGACTGAAACTCTGTACCCACTAAACAATAACTCTCCTCTATCCCCTTGCCTCAGCTGCTGGTAACCACTAAGTGTCCTTTTTTTTTTAAGTACCAAAATTGCCAGTCAGAAGTTAATAACTACAAATATTAGAATTAGAGGAGGAAAAGACAATAAAGTAAATAAACCAATTCCTCATCTTTCATAGTGAGTAGATAGTGTCTTCAATTGTTAAACCAAGAAAGAAGGGTATGATCAAATTATTTACAGTTCAGGAGGTACTACTAGGAGAACTAAGTCAGAAATGGTTAAAAGTTGTTGTAGTTAGAGGTGGGGGAAGGAGAATATTGCTTTACATAATAAACTAATATGTTCTGGTTATTTTTAGAGTCTCTGTATTAATTTGATAGAAATTAAAGAAAGAAATTTGCTCTATCAATCTGTCTTGTAACAAAAGAGATAGCGTCTGGTTTTTTGGGAGGAGTATGTGAGACAGTATGTTTAGGGAGCTTGGCATTGTGCTTGGTTGGTGCTATCTCCTCCAGAAAGAGTAGGTAAAGGGTGTTTTTGTTTTTGTTTTTAAATCTCTGGAATTCAGGAACTTGGAGGCACTAGCTGCTAATTGGCACCTAGAGTTTCTGTTAATTTGAGTCACTTTTGTCATGGGTAGGGGTTGGGTTTGGTTGACTGAGCTGGCCTGCTGGGCCGAGGCTTGCAGACCAAAGCTGAGGCCCGGAGGCGGCTGGATCTGAGATCCAATCAGGGTGCCACAGCATACTCACAGGTGACCTTGGGCAAATTCCTTAACTGTCTGTGCCCCAGCCTCCTTCACTGTAAAACAGGGATAATGCCATTTGGCTATAAAATGCACCATCATTTTATATACCTCCATAAAAGAAAATAAATGCTGCCAATTAAGTATGATGCCGTGCTTCCTTATCTTTTATTTCAGAAATGGTTAAATGTGGTAAAAGTGTATATTGGAATGGAGTAAGTAATGTAATTGTACTCTCTTTATAGGGTTATTGTGAGAGTTAAATGAGGCTCATAAAGCTCTTGCTGAAGTGCCTGGCAATTAGCAAATTCTCTGTAAATCAAATTTTACCTAGAGCTCCTTCCCTGATTACCAGAATCCACATCCCTCAAGGATCTGGGTCCTTTGGGGTCTGGTGTGGCAGATCGCCAGAATTCTGTCTTTGCTGGCCTAGGGCTCTTCCTTTGGATTCTTCTGTCCTCTTCTTCTTCCCCCAAGGTTCTCTCAGGACAGAGTTCCAGGGGTTGATGTTTGATGGCAGGACCTGGCCTGAGGGGAGAGGGACTTTCTGAGCATCACTTGTTATAGTCAACTCTAGAAGCGTGGGCAAGCAACAGAGAAAGATTTTAGGGGAAAACCAGGTCTGGGCAGTGATTCAGGCCTGTTTTTTCAGGTATTAAAAAAAGGGGAAGGGCTTGCAGGCCTCCTCTTGCTCCGCTTGTGAGCATGTAAGCCGGCATAGCCTTTCTAGAGCGCAGTTTGGCTCTTGCATTTTAGGCTTGAAAATGTGCATATCCTTGCAGTCCCAATTACACTTCTTAGAATTACTTGTGTCAGAACAATCAAGGATGTGTACAAAGATTTAGGTATAGGATGTTTATAACAGTACTGTTTAGGATGTTAAAATAAACTAAAACGACTCAAAAATGTCTAATCATAAGGAAACGTTAAGAATTAATTATGTTAATGCAACAATGGCATATGTAATCATTAAAAATAGTGTAGATTATATAATGACATAGGAGATGGGTCACAACATTTTTTTTTTTTTTGTGAGGAAGATCAGCCCTGAGCTAACATCCATGCTAATCCTCCTCTTTTTTGCTGAGGAAGACTGGATCTGAGCTAACATCTATTGCCAATCCTCCTCCTTTTTTTTCCCCAAAGCCCCAGTAGATAGTTGTATGTCCTAGTTGCACATCCTTCTAGTTGCTGTGTGTGGGACGCGGCCTCAGCATGGCCGGAGAAGGGGTGCGTTGGTGCGCGCCCAGGATCCGAACCCGGGCCGCCAGTAGCAGAGCGCACACACTTAACCGCTAAGCCACGGGGCCGGCCCCACAAAATATTGTTTAGTGATAAAAGAAGATTAAAAAACAATTTATGTAATGTGATTCTATTTATATAAGAATAGTTGCATAGAAACTCATGTATAGGAAAAAAAAATTCAAAGTTAATACACAGAAGTGTTAACATGGGTGATCTCTAGGAGCAGGGATTGTGGATGATCTTTATTTTCGGGTGCTTTGGTTTTTATGTTTTCCAGCTTTATAAAAATAATTATTAGTCACATATTCACAATCAAATTTGCTTCCACGGTGCCTTCTATGAGTTCTCTTCCACCCTCCCCCACACACTTTTTGTTTTACACAAAAGGTAGCATTTTCTGCCCACAGTGCCACACTCTGGTTTCTTTTTGTTGTTGCTTTTGTTCCATTGAGCAGTGTGTATTTGGAGGCTGTATCAATACACAAAGAGCTTCTTCATTCTTTTTTATGGCTGCATAAGATCATAACATTCCATTGTATGGATGAACTGTAATTCATTTTAACCAGGCTCCTACTGATGAACGTTAGGTTGTTTCCTTTTTTTTTGGTGATGTAAAAATCAGTGCCAAAACGGGTGCAGGGGGTCAAAAGGTAAAACTTCTAGTTATAGGATAAATAAGTCTTGGGGATGCAATGTACAGCATAGTGACTATAGTTAACAATATTGTATATTTGAAAGTTGCTAAAAGAATAGATGTGAAAAGTTCTCATCACACAAAAGAAGTTTGTAATTACGTGAGGTGGTGGATGTTAACCAAACTTATTGTGGTGATCATTTCACAGTATATTTGTATATCAAATCATTACATTGTACGCTTAAATCTAATACAATGTTATATGTCAATTGTACCTCAATTAAACAAAAAGAAGTTCGTATGAGGCATTTTGTACATACGTGAGCTTGTTAGCAGGATGCTGTCATCCCAGGCTGACTCATCGTTCTGTTTATTCAGGACCTCTCAGCAAGGCTGGTGGGTATCCAGTCTCAGAAGGCCCAGTTCCTCATCACTTTCAAGACCATGGAGGAAATCTGGAAGTTCTCCACCTACCTGAACTTAGGTATGAGGCTGAGTGGGCAGGCGGAGGAGCACCTGCTTCACAGCTTGGCAAGTTTGTAGGGCTTGACCTGAGGAATTGATCTGGCTCTGATAATTAGGAGAGGCAGAGCCTTCACATGGATGGTTAAAATTTGAAATATTGCTAACTGCCTGGAACAGAATCTAAAGCAAATTAACTATTATTGTAAAATGCCATGTGCAACACTTTGTGTTCAGGGAGAGACTATGAGATAATCGATCAGACTGGCACACAGTTATTGATCATCTACTAAATTCAAAGTACTGAGATAGATTCGAAGTTGATGGTTTGGGAAAAAAAGAAGGAACCGGTCCTGAATAAGATCAAAGTAGCTTCTCAAAAGAGTAAAGTTTTCCAGATACTTTATCCCATGTTTTTGGAAAAGAGTCAAAGAAAGAGATGGGGGAGTTATCTGCTAAAGGGGTCTCAGGTTGCAGATTTTTCCAGAAGGTAAAGGAGGATATTGGGGCATAGCAGCAGCACCGGTGTGGTGGGAAATGGTTTACCTACTCACTCCGTGGAGAATAACTCATGGTAGGGAAGTTATTATTGCAAAGCAAAACCAAGCAAAGCAAGAGGACGCCACTTGAATTCACGTGCGTTTTACATCTCCCAGAAAACGCTGGGCACCACGCAGACTTACACAGGAAGTGACTATGTGTGAGGGTGGCAGGTCAAGATGGCTCACGGCTAGAAGGTGTAACTTCTCCTCTATTAAGTCATGGTGATTTTCTGCTCTCCACACCGCACACCTCCTTCTGTGACCGTTAGAGATCCTTCCTCACTATTCAAAGTGTGCTCCATGGACTATAGCAGCATCAGCATCACGTGGGGCTTGTTAGAAAAGCGGAATCCCAGGCCTCACCCCAGACCAGTGAACCAGCATTTGTATTTTAATAAGGTCCCCAGGTGATCTGCATGCACATTAAAGTATGAGAAACACAATTATAGAAGATACAGAAGGCCCAACTCACTACAATGGAGAGTCAGAATGGAAAGAGACAGGTTTTTGCATCTTAAGAAAGAGAGAAAATCTCAAAAGAAGAAAAATTTTAATGCAAATAATGCACATTTATAGGCATTTTTAGAATACTATACATAACTGTTAGACTTTTGCAATTTGCATAGTTTTTAGTCTGTTTTAACAAGGGAGAGCTTACTGGGCCTGGGTGAGGTGGAGGGTCAGAGCGGGGAGGTTGAGTACATCATGACTCCTTTGTGGGTCTTGGAAAACCCCCAGCCATTGCATCATCAGGGGTACAGAAATTTCAACCTCAAGTCAGGAGAACTTTAAAGGGGGACCAGGAACCCCCAGAGTCAGCATTGTAATCTTGGAGATTCCTCCAGGGAAGTGTTAGAAAAAGGTAATTGGGTTTGGTCATCTCATATTATGAGACTCAAAATATGTTGAAAATGGTAAATATCATTTAAAAATGACTTGTATTTCCCAACAGATGCTGAGAAGAATCAATTCATTCTAGAAATTTTCTAGCTACCCGTCTTATGCTCTTCTAATTCCAGTTAAATGGAGTCAGGTTGGGAATCAAGGTCTGGGAGGGAACTTCAGGAGTGAGCTTGCTCACCCTCGTCTGTGCTCAGCTAATGGCAGAAATCATGTTGTTTGGCATTCTCATTGGCTTGACTTCTTAGGCTACGTATCTGCATGTTTGGAGCATCTCCTCTTTGACCACAAGTATTGGCTCAACTGCAGATTGGTGGAGGATACAGAGATCCAGGTGTCAGCAGATGATAAACACCTGGAATCAATATACCTGGGACTCCTGATACAGGAAGGTGAGCATGGGGTAGTGGTGGGGATGCGGGTCTTATCTGGATATTTATTATTAGAGTCCCTGAAATAATTAGGATAGAAAGGGAAGCAATTGGGTTTTGTCATCTCATTATGCATTTATGGAGACTCATATGTTGAAAATGGTAAATATTTAAAAATGACTTGTATTTCCCAACAGATGCTGTTGAAACCATTCAAACATAAAAATATTCACAAATAAATCCACCTGTTATAATATTACTCCAAACCTCTCTCTCAGTTTAACATTGACATCACATGAACAGCTATGTTGGCCATTCTCACTGATGATCTGATGTTAGAACCACTTGGGGAGTTTTAAGAAGATGCCCATGCCAGGGCTCCACCTAGGCCAAGTAAATCTACAGAGATGGGGACCCAGGCTTTGGTATTTTCTGAAATTTGTCCAGATAATTGTAATGTGTATCTAAGATTGAGAATCACTTTTCTAAATATATGATATAATTAGATTGTAAAATAAAATTGAAAATCTTGCAAAACCTGCAGGATTTCATGAGATAGAGGAAAGTGGTGTGGGGGAACTGCTTGAAGCATCCACCATTCTGTTTACAAAGAAGAATGTGATCAGGGCTATAGCCAACCAGTTAACAACCGATGACATCATAGACACATTGAAAGAGCCAGATTTGCATAGAATATTTTGCAAAACGATTTTCCTCTTGATTGAATCGCACAAATCATATACGAAGGAAAGAATTTCATACTGTGCCACTATAAAATTTGGTTGGAGAGGTTATATTCACCCAAATCAATGTAATTTGTTCTTTGTTGGTCCTAAGATAAAGTGTGAGGTTGCAATTATAATTGAAGTTCTGTTAAATATATTTTTATAAGTTTTTGTTTCATTTTTTTCAAGGTGAAGTCTCATTTAAACCTTATTCTCACAAATTACTCAGAAATTTTGGTGTTTATTTTAAGTGAATTTCCTCTCAGTGGCTTTTTTTTTCCTGGTGCCAGTTTTCCTGGGATCACAAGGACCGCCTGTAGCATCCCCTCTTGGCTGTGTGCTTTACTCCCAGGAAGGAAAGTATTTGGGCTCTGGATAGAAATGTTACATTGGGTGATAATCTCTTTTCACTTCCTGCTACTCCTCGGAAGGGCTTTTCTCATTATCTACAGGCCACTTCTTCTGCAGAGCCATGTGCTCTGTGGCTCAGCCAGCTGAGAAGGAAGGGGAGTATTTGACACTTTGCAAGAATGAGTTAATCTCAGTGAAGATAGCTGAAGGCGGATCCGAGTGGGACGGCGTGTCCTTGGTGACGGGTCAGCGGGGCCTGGTGCCCGTGTCAGCCCTGGAACCCCTGCCACTCCCTTTCCACCAGTGAGTAGCCACCCACCTCCTGGGAGAGGGTCCCAGAGCAGACTGAGGTCTGCCCAGAACAGAGTAGGCGTGCTTGCAGATATGGCCATCCATGGCGCCAGGGAAGAAACAAATTCTGGGTGGCGTTTTATTTTTTGTTACTTTTTTTAACAGTCAGGTTTGCGCAATTTGATGAAATTGGAGACAACTCTAAATTGCACATGGACATTGTTCCTAGGAAGAAATATACTGCGTGGTCTCCAATGTAGTGTTTCTCAATGTAGGGACTGGGGACCATTTGTATCAGAATCTCTTGGGGATTTTACTACAAGTTCAGACCCCGTGGTCCTCCTCAGACTCTCTTGGGGTTGGATCCAGGAATCTGCATTTTATACAAGCTGTCCTTAAACATGAGGGGATATTTCTCACATTAAAGTTTGAGAATCCCTGTTGGAAGATATTGTAAACTCAAACATACAGAGTGACAATAAACACTACCCCGCTGTGGGCCTTGTGTGTGGCTCTGGTGGAGAATCTGACAGTGAGAATGGAAAGGGATCCTTTGTTAGTTGTTTAACTGACAAACTAATTGCAGAGCTAGAAAACATCCCAGGCCTGCTGAACTTTTCTCCTTTTCACAGTGCCTAATACAAAGTAAGTTCTCAATAAATGTCTGCCATCATTATAAGGAGAGTGATAACAAGAATACTTACCATTATCACCATCATTGTTACTTTAATGGACTATTCTGTTCACTGTTTTAATTTTATGAAATCCATGTTTGCAAACCTCGTGTTTCCATTGGCAGATGGTTCCTAAAGAATTACCCAGGAAGCTGTGGCCTTTCCAGGAAGAGGGAATGGACAGGCTCCTATCAGATCGGTATGGTTGAGTTGAAGACAGTATTGTTAGGGAGATAATATTGCCCTGCCTCCTAATTTTATCTGCAGGTTTGGAGTCAGTTGATGTGAATTCCTGTCTTGCCTCTGCTACTGACTGGATTTGGGGAAGCCAGTTACCATCTATAATCATGCTTCCTTGCCTGTGAAATGAGAGGTCTCAATCCTGGGCTGAGACACAAATGCCTACAGTGGTAGGCAGAATGCGCAGATGCATGAGGGCCTGGGTGGAAGATGTTAGGGAGTGGTGGGGACCATAGGGATTTAAAGATATATGGGTGAAAAAAAAGCCAGACATGGGCCACATGTGGCCTGCAGGCTGCATGTTTTCAATCTCTACTCAAAACTCAGAGTTTTATGAAATTAATCTTGAATTTAGGAAGAGTAAGAAGGCCTGGCACATAGTGGGTACTCAGTAATTATTTGTTGAATAAATGAGTGGAATATGTATATGTATAAATACATGCATACATTTTAGGTAATCTCTATTTGTGTGGGTATGTATGTGTATACACATATAAGTAAGTATGTATGTATCTACTGGATAATGAACTTTAATGTTCTCTAGGTATCTACAATATACACTCCTTTCAGCTTCATCCTTAGAGGCCCCCCCACACCTAGTGCAAAACGCAATTTTGTAAGTTCTATGCGCAAATAACACTTTAAAAAAAGGAAATAGAGGGAATTATGGAATGCAGAATCAGATCTAATCAATAATTGACCTTAAGCAAGATTTTTAGCTATCTGAGGAAGGAAGGCCTTGTAGTTAGGAACATGGGGCTGTAAAGTCTGTTCTGGGTTCAAATTCTAGCTCCACAACTGAAACCCAGTGTGACTTTGGCCAATTCGTGTGCCCTCACTCTGCCACAAGTTCCTCATTAGTAAAATGACAGCATAAGACCAACTTCAAGTGTCGTCATGAGAACTAAACTAAACAACGTCCATAAATCACTTAGTACCGTTTTCTCACAGTGTGGCTGTCTAATACATGGTAGATCCTGTTAGCCCACAGAGCAGCGGGAAATTCTGATCTTGAAAATACAACCAATAGGCACTTGACCAAAAATGTCAGAAAAAAAATAATCCAGTAGCTTTAGCAGAGGAGCTAAAGCAAATATGGAAACCGAGGCACATAAAAGCCATTATCTCAACCAGAGCAGGATTAGAGGAAAGAAGCGTTAACCAGCAGTGGAGAGACTGAAGTTCTAGACTCAGCTTTGTCATGCATAATCTCCTTGGACAAATCATGTGTCTCTCTGCGCCTCCACCTTCTAATCTGTAAAAAGGGGATTCTGATAGTTGCTCTACCTACCCCTTGGAGCTCCTGGGAATATCTGAGAAAATGGACATAAGTGTACTTTGTAAACTGGACGGCACAACGCTCATAAATATGTCATGACTAGATCCTACCTAGGCAACTTATCCAGCTGGGCAGTGACCATGGTTAGAAGGGGAGTATTCCAGATCCCTCTGGGTCATCAGCAGTTTTCTATTCCCCAGTGATATGAGGCTAACGTTATTGAGGGTTGACTAGTACCAGGCATTGTGCACTTTATTTCTTTGACTCTTCCCAATATTTATAAGAAAAAGGTATTCTCATTATCCCCATTTTACAGCTGAGGCGACTGAGGGTCAGAGTGGCTAAAGGAGCAGGAAGGAAATGGAGAGATCCTCTGGTCCAATGGTTCTCACCCTGGTCTGTGGATTTGTGCCAACCACAACGAGCGTTTATGTGACAGTGGCTAAATCAGACAAAGCAGGACAGTATAGTGAGCTTTCCAGTTTTCCATAAGCTAACTTTCCTCAGTTTTAAGGTATATCTAGTATTCTGAGATTATCTTTCTTACATTTGTTAAAACATCTTTTCTTTTCTAAAATGATGGTGAAAGTGGATGATAGTTACTTTTGTTGAATGTCCTACTTTGGCAAAAAGAAAAACTAATTATCCTGTGTTATTCCTGCCAATTTGTATTTTTTATGGGTGGAGTTGGGGAAATTTACTCGTCCTTGAAATTCTAAAGTGTGGAAACCCCTCATTTCATATTACATTGGAAGCCAGTGGAAGGCTCAGCTGTTTCTGCCTTATTTACTTGACCTCTGTGCTGTTTCCCCACAGGCAGAGGAAAATGTAAGGCCTGGAAGGAATATGAGAGGGAAGAAAAGGATGAGCTGAATTTCCACCAGGGAGAAAGCATCGAGATCATCGGCTTTGTCATACCTGGGCTTCAGTGGTTCATTGGGAAGTCAATGCGCTCAGGAGAAGTGGGCTTTGTCCCCACCAGGAACATAGATCCTGATTCCTATTCCCCAATGTGAGTATGACGGAGAGGCCCTCTGGGGTGTCCTGGAGCTGGGCTGCCTCCCCAGCAGTCCTCCCCCCATTCTGAGCAGATTTGCAGATGAGCTTCAGGGTTCCATGGTGACATGGAGCCAGAGGAGCACATTCTGACAACTGAGGCCGACAAAGGAGTGAGAGGAAGGAGGGGATGAGTGGTCAGTTCAGTTCATTTCAACAGATGGTCATTGAGGCCTTTCTCTGTGCCAGGACAGAAGCACAACCCAAAACAAAGGGCCTGCTGTCAGCACCCAGAGTGCATTTCGGTCCTTGTGTTCTGTTACTCACCCCATCAGAGGCAGGGGCCCCATCAGGGAAGGGCATACACAGGGCTCTACAGGTTACAGCTTATTGAGTGGAGCGTTCCTCTGTCTGCTGAAAGCTTACTGTGTGGAGTCAGTATTGGCCAGGATGGTAGAGTGAGTCTTTTCCTCTCTTCTGCCTTGAGTCATCCACGTGGCCAACCTGCTGCAGATGGCTGGCCTGCCCCACCTGCCCTGTCATGGAGGGACAGAGCTCAGGAGTGCTGACCAGTCTCTGTGGGTGAGCTTCCTGCACGGGCCTGGACCCAGGAAGTATGAGAGGGAACGCAGAGTTGGCTGCTAACACAGAGACACCATAGCCCTTCACTCCAGGAAAATGTGGCCCCGGGGCTGTCTAAGGCTCTGAACTCAGACTGGAATCCCTTCTCTTGTGGGAAAGAGTCCCTGACGAGAGTGGGCCAAGGGCAGAAGCTCCCTCTAAGCCCTGCCCTTTATAGGGAAGGAGACAGAAGGTCATTTTCCCCACAAAGAAATGTGGGAACCCAAGTAACTCTACACAAGGAAGATTGCTCACTGAGCCCCTGGAGGGATACGGAGTGCTATGGGAGTTTATAAGGAGAAAAAGGGTATGAAGAGAACTTTCATGAAAAAGGTGACATTTGAGTTCAGCTTTGCACAATGTAAGCTATTTCAGCAGATGTAAAAGGGGAAAGGAGGTCACAGGGAGGAAAGTCAGGGGATGTCGAGTAATGACTCGTGTCTGTCGGGAGGCAGGGCAGTGGTTACCAGGAGGGCACTGGCGTGGCCAAGGCTCAGTGGAGTTATGACATGGAAGACGGGAATGCCTGTGCCAGGGGCCTGACCTCCACCTGGCAGAGAATGGGGAGCCACTGAGTGTCTCTGAGCAAGGGTGACAAATGGTGTGACTGGAACTTCTCTCTAGGAAGCTAACTCTGGCTTTGGGTGAGGCGCGTGTGGGCAGGGGAGAGCCTGGAGGCAGGAGACCAGTGAGAAACTAAGGCCAGCACTTAGGAAGGGGCAGGGGGAATGGAGAGGAGAGGGTACCGCTGAGGACCCATCAGCAGGAATTTAAAGATTGCCGGAGCTTTCCAAATATGGATACCCGTGTTCTGCACCACCTCTTCCCTCCCCCCGAGGTTCTATCTCATTGGTCTCGCGGGGCCTGGGCAGCGATGGTTATGAAGGCTCCCAGGTGGGGCTAGTGTGCAGCCAAGGTGAGACCACTGCTCTAAAGCCCCTCATTTTACTGCAGGGGGAAGTGAGGGCCCAGCAGTGAAAGGGCTGAACACAAGGCCTTGGGTCTGGAACCCCAGAATCCTGATGTTAAATCCAATGAGTGCTGCAACCGAGGTCCTGGAGAGAGGAGGAAAGAATAAAGAGAATGGAAATTGAGTTGGTGGGGCAGAACCTTGGAGGGTGCCTCCATTTGCAGAGTAAAGAAAGAAAGAACATAACAAGGGAGACAGAGGAACTGGCTGAGAGGAAGGAAACAGCCAGGGGGGAGGTGAGGGGTGGTTAACACACCGTTGCAAGCCTCAGAGGTTTAAGCAGGGCGGACTGAGGAAAGGTCTTTGAGCCTGGCCATTGGGAGGTCACTGGGCAGTGTAGCTTAATGGTTGACAGAGTTCCAGAGTTCCAGAGCACCAGGCTGCCCAAAAGGCATTTGGGGGTCATGTGAGAACATCATGTGTCTCCATTAGCTTACCACCTGTGTGGCTTTGGATATGTTAATCTGCCTCTCTATGCCTCTATTTTCTCATCTGTAAAGTGTGTATAGTATTAGGCCCTGCCTGATAGGATGCTCATGAGTTTAAATGGGCTGATACGTGTAAAGTACTTAGAATGGTGCCTGGCACAGTGTCTTTGTGTATGATCAATATGCATTAACTCTTATTATTGCTGTTATTGTTGTGGGTGGTAATCTTTGAGAGGCAGTTTTAATAGGATATCGGGGGCAGGTGTCTGGTTTCATAAATTATATTTGGACTTCTGCACCTCGTACTTTGCCCCAAATGACAATAACTCAGTATCACTAAATTACTTTGATCATCACATTTTAGCTGGCTTAGTTGTAGGGGGGACCTGCTCACCCTGAAGAACATCATCTCCTGTATTGCAGTGGCGGTGTAAGACCTTCTCCTTATTTCCACAGTGTCCCCTGTTGGCCGACACCTGGTCACCTGTGGGACCCAGTGCACCAGAGATTGCACATTCACTAGGGGAGGGGAAAGTGAACCAGGAGACAGGGAGGGCGGAAGAAGGGGAGGAGAGGGGAACTGGCTCATTGCACACCCCCTAAAGAACTCTCTACATGACAGACATCCCCGAAACACAATAGTCAGAGGAAAACCCTGCAAACAACCTGGCCACAGACAGCAGCCAGCGTGTGGAGTCCTGGGCATCATCCCTGTGTGCTATGCTTGTGTCTGGCCACTAGGTGTCTCTCTTTGTCCATGTTCGTTTGGTATCAGGTTTCTGAAGAAGGTCCCCCATTTGCTGGTCTCCATCCCTCCCACAGGTTCCCTCCCTGTGCAGGTATGTTACTCCCTAAAGTGTATTCATTCATTCATTCATCCATCCATCCATCCATCCATCCATCCATCCATCCATCCATCCATCCATGCATTTTATCTATCTATTTATTTAACCAAATCAGCAGTATATTGAGAGTGAAATTTCTCAGAAGCCGTTTTCTGAGTCAGATTTAGTCTGTGCCTCTGACACATGGGAAAGAGATGCTGGTTTTCCACGGAAGCAAATTTGTGGGTTTCCTTTTTTACTCAGCACAGATTTCAATGCCAGCTACCTAGTTTCATAATAACAGCAGCTGGAAAACCAGTTCTTAAAACTTGGGGCAGGCGTTCTGTCTGAATAGACAGTATTTGCATTTGGCCAGAGTGATATTGGGGATCTCAGAGCTTTTGAGGGTCACAGAACACCATGCCCTTCCTTTTTTTTAAATGTTTTATGTTTTTAAAAAAATATTTGATGTGTATGTGTTTGTGTATGTGTGTGTGTTTTAAGGGAAAAAAGTCTTGTGATATAACTGAAGTGTCCTTTTTACTCCTTCCTACTTTTATCCTCTGATCCTGATTCCCACCCCAGAGGCAAACTCTATTTGAAGTGGATGTGTATCTTTCCAGTCCTCTTTTTGATACATTTTAAAAATAGATATTTGTTCATAAACAGAAAATACTATGGTTTTGTATATTTAAAAATATATATATTTTTCTGCAACTGGCCTTTTTTTTCAGTTGACATTGTAAATTTAGGATTTATTCACATTGTAATAGATATAGTTCATTTTAATAAAGTGTTACTTAAAGGAAATTTATATACTTAAATGCCTAAATTAAAAAATAAACAAGATTGAAAAATTAATGCACTCAAAACCGGAAAAAAGAACATAGCAGAAAAGCTAGTATTTGTAGTATTAAACATTAAAAAAATTTCTGTTTCTTAGATCCCCTCTTTTATTTTTCACACTGTTTATCTGTGTCTTCTTTATAATTCCATTTCTTGTGATATTTATTTATTTATTTATTTTGTGAGGAAGATCAGCCCTGAGCTAACATCCGATCCCAATCGTCCTCTTTTTTGCCGAGGAAGACTGGCCCTGGGCTAACATCCACGCCCATCTTCCTCTACTTTATATGGGACGCCTGCCACAGCATGGCTTGACAAGTGGTGCGGAGGTGTGCACCTGCTATCTGAAGCTGTGAAACCTGGGCCACCAAAGCGGAGCACACGCACTTAACTGCTTGCGCCACCGGGCCGGCCCCTGTGATATTTATTTTTGCTGATGAGAAGTTTGCTGTTCATCTCACAGCCATTTCTTTGTAGTTAGGCAGCTTTTTTTCTCACTGGTTGTTTTCTTTTTTTAGGTTTTTGTTACTGATGTTTTGCAATTGGACGATGATACGTCTAGATGTGATATATTCTAGTACATATTTATAGCAAGCTGTCCACCTCCTCCATCATAGTGTATATCTTTTAGTAGTTATTTCAGTGGACATCCGTGAGTTGTAAATACTCTCAGTCTTCAGTCCTTATTTGTCTTAAATATACTTAAAATATTCTCATGGGTGATTATTTAGCTGGGTATAGAATAACATCTTCAAAGTGTGCAGAGAAAAACAACTATTAATATAAGATGTCGAATCCATTTTGCCAGGGTTTTGTCCATTTTATTAGTCTTTTGAGAGAACCAATTTTTTTGTTGGCCATCTTTATTGTTTCTTTGTTTTCTATTTCATTAATTTCATATTGATCTTTATTATTTTCTTCTACTTTCTTTGTTTTTATTTCATTAATTTATATTTTTATCCTATTTAACTCTTTCGTCTCATAAGTTGAACACTTAAGTGATAGATAATTGAACCCAGAAAGAAGGATTAGGAGAAAAAGAAAACCTGAAAGGACCTATAACCTTAAAGAAATGGAAATCATGTTAAAAATTGTCTTATATTCATTTATTTTGTTCAGGACTTGGTGTACTTCTTCAATTTGAAGACATGCTTTTCTTCAATTCTGGAAAATTCTTATTCTCCCTTTGAATATTGCCTTTCTCTCATTCTTTTTAGTCTCTCTTCTGGAATTCCTTTTAGAGGTATGTTGGACTTGTCATTCTGTCCTCAATCTTGCTTAATCAATTTTTTTATATTTTTCACCTTTTTGTTACTCAAGGCTGCATTCTGGGTGATTTCCTCAGAACGATCTTCAGTTTCACTAATTCTCTCCTCTACTGTGACTAAACCTGCTGTTTAACTCACTCATGTAGTCCTAAATGTCCATGCTTTTATTTTCATTTCCAGAATTTGTATTTTGCTATTTTCACATATGCTTGTTTCTGCTCACAATGTTCCATATTTTCATGTAGCTTCTATTCATTCTTTTTATTTTTCATTTTAAACATGCTTATAATTAATCTTCAGATTATTGTTATTTCTAGCTCTTGTAGTGTTAATTTACCTATTTGTGCATGTGCTGGCTCTCTGTCAGTAGTTCATTTACTTGTGTGGTTTGTATTTTTTGTTACGTGAACGAATTTTCAAGATTTTATAAGATTGTCTTTGCATGACTCTTGGACTGAAGAAATCATCCCAGCAGAGGAGTTTTAGCATTTGCTTCCCCTGGGAACTGAGGAACTCAATGATCAGATCCAGGGCTGAGTTTTTCTCTTTTTTGGTGGGGAAGATTGGCCCTTAGCTAACATCTGTTGCCAATTTTCCTCTTTTTGCTGAGGAAGATTGGCCCTGAGGTAACATCTGTGCCCATCTTCCTCTATTCATCTTCCTCTATCCTCTATTCTGTATATGGAATGCTGCCTCAACATGGCTCGATGAGCAGTGTGTAGGTCCATACCTGGGATCTGAACCTGCGAACCCTGGGCAGCCAGAGCGAAGCATGCAAACTTAATCACTACGCCACCGGGCTGGCCCCCCAGGGCTGGTTTTTTAATGTTAAGTTTTCCGATTGTTGTACCTGCACTGTGCAGTGTAAATTTAGTTCCCACACCTTCTAATGGTGTAAGCCCAGGTGTTTGATTCTTTTCCAGCGACTCAGATAGATGGAAAGTATGTTCTTGGCAGGCAAGTTTTCCAATACCCTCTTTATGGAAGTTGCAGCCCTTCCAGACTTCAGGTTATATAGGGAACTCAAAGCTTGTAGGGAGCTCAGTGTATCTTCCCTGCTTCATACAGGTCCAAAGTCACATTTCCTGTCCCTACGGGGAATTACAAGGTGAGCCCCAGCTCTGAGGGCCAATGTCTCAGCTGAGAACCCCCAGGGTCTCTGGGCCATCTGCTCTTGCTTACCAACTTGCCTTTTGTTTCTTCTTTTGTTTCTGGCTCCCATTTCCCTTTCTTTCTTTTAAAGTTAAAGTAGCTATTAAAATATTTATCTTTGTCACATTTTATCCACGATTTGTCTGTGTATATGGGGAGAGTAGCCCTGTGTGGAGCACTTCAGCCTGCCATATTTCCAGAAGTCCTCCATACTCCTTTAACCCCATTTCCATGCTAGGAAAGCCCTAATGTAATTTATCAAGCTTCTTGGACTCTCTCTAAACACCTGGGACTCAGGGCGTTAGCCAATCGGCTGTGAGGCAACGGACACAGCGGCAGAAGACCTCGACTTTGGTCTCAGCTTTACCACTTTCTAGCTGTGTCATTCTGAGCATGTCACTGAATCTTTCTGAATCTTCATCTACAAATATGGATAAAAGTACTTACATTACAGAGTTGTTATGAAGAATAAATGAAGTAATAAATTCAGAAATGCTTTGTAAAATTTAAGAGTTCTGCAGAGATTTGGGATCATACAATTCTTTTTACCTTAAATGAGTTTAGTTGTAGATTTCAATTACACACTCTTTTGAGGATGGACACTCTCGTGGTGCTGGGGAGAATCGGGAGGTCAGGCCAGAGAGATGAGGGTTCAGTAAGTACCATGGAAAGAGCCCTGGGCCAGATGCCAGGACACAGCTTTAGTGACAGTTCTGCCATGAGTTAGTGGTGTGACCTTGAGGAATTCGTATTAACTGATAGTTTTCTCATCACTGGCTTTCAAACTGCCCTTATCTGAGTATAGGTACATCACTGGCTTTCAAACTGCCCTTATCTGAGTATAGGAACTGAGTGTAAGTGGCAGAACGTGCCAACTCCATCCCAGCCCCTCCCTCAACTCTGCTTTACCTAGAGAAGCTCTTCTTCTATCCTGCGCTACCACTTCCTAACCACCGACTTCATTTTCCTGTGCCTCGGTTTCTTCCTCTGTAAGAGGGGGATAAGAATGCTACCTGCCTCATAGGGCAATTGTGTATATCAAATGAGATAATAGTGTCTGATTCATAATAAGCCCCCTAAAAGTATTAGCTGCTATTAACTCTTGGGCTTCCAAGATATTTTTGTTTTAAAAATGGATTCTGAGTTAAAAAAAGATCTTTATTTAGAACTGAAAGGGATCTTAACTATTGTTCAGATAGATACTGGATTCAATAACTTTCTAAGGCACTTCTAGTTTTCAAATTTTTGGGTTCTATGACAAATTTCTAATAAGCAAATTCGTTTCAACAATTAATTTATACAATAGAGCGAGTATAAAGATCTCTATTATTTATAACTACTTCTTCCAGCCGCCTGGCCATCCTTCTACCTGCTTCCCATCTGTTAGTATTCTATTCCTCCCTTAATGCTACATAATGCTGTGGTTCTGTGTCATGGAATCCAGTGTCAACATTGCGAAAGGCTTCTTCTGACCATAGTCAAACATTCTTCATGGTTCCTCTGGATCGTATTACTTGTCCCTAGTGTTTCCTTGAAATAACCTGATAAAGAAACTTCTTTTAATGGTCGCTTTCCAACCCTTACATTTAGGGCAGCCAACTTATATTTCTTTCATTAAAAATAGGCACCACATAGTCTCAAATAAAGGGTAAGGGTCAAGAGAAGAGTCTTTGTTTTTCTTGGGAGATAGAGTTTCAACAGGAGGAATGTTTTCATCCTCCTTCGACCTATTCAGCTCAGATCTCCATGGATGAGGTGCTAGTAGCTCTTCTCCTTGGCAGCATACATACATTACACAACAGGAAGATGAGGAGTCTGATTTCAGCTATGGCAAATGGGTTGATGGCTTCTCTATGTCCTGCACTGCATTCTAGGGTAGAGAGAGAAGGGGTCATGTCTGGATCCTTGCACTGATCTGTGTCCGTGTCTTTTGCTTCAATGCAGGAGCAAGAACTCCACTTTTTTCAGTGACGAGGAAAGATGCTCTCTGTGGGTCCTGGGAAGTGACAGGAAAGCTGAGTGTGCCAGCTTCCTCCACACGCTTGCTCACACTGACATAACGTCTGTCTACCGGCTTAGTGAGTGTTTGCTCCTCAGACCCCTTTGAAAGCCCAGGCTCCTCAAGATGAAGAGGGTGTTCCTAACCAGGAATAGAATATCTCTAAATTCTAACCCATGAATCTGGGGCTATGACCACTATTCTATTGATGACCTAATCATATTTGATTAGCAGCACTTTCACTTTAGGTTTCAGACAATTCTGGGGTTGTGTGGGACATGTTGCCTAGAAACTATGCAATATGGTGACACCAGCTCAGCTACAGCATAGGAGGCCAGCCATATTGAGCTTTCCATTCTAATCTGGGAGAAGAAAAACTTCCTGAGTAGTAGCTGAGGTCCCTTCTTCTATGGCTGAAGTAGGTCCAGGTCCCCAACGATAAAAGTGGGGCCGTAGAATGTTACACCTGGAAGGACTCTAAGAGGTGATTTCTCCTCTCCTTTCACTGATTGGGAAACTGAGGCCCAAGTGAATTAGTACCTGAGCCTTGCCCGTTTTCTAGTCAGGATAATCTCTACTTCACCACACTGCCCCTGACACAAAATGACATTGGACTGTTGGGTGTGTTAGCCTTGGGTGGGTGAAGGGCCTCAGTGCCTAGCAGTTTTCAGCAGTATCTGAATGATTGATTGAGTGAATGAATGACACTTCTTTCCCTTACTTTGAGAAGGGCCCACAGCTCTGTGTCTGGAAGTACACTCACCCATTGACGGTGGTTCTATCCTATTTTCTATCCTAGTTTCTCCTATCTCTTCAGTGATAGTGATGTTGTGCCCACTCCTGTGTGGCCAGATTAAATGGAGCACATTTCACGGGCACAGCCAGAAATCCTGCAGAAGGGGTCCTCAGGTCAACTCCTGGGAGCAGAGGTGGGAGTTGGAGTCTTTCTCCATGCACAAGAAGCATTTGTGAGGAGCACCCAGCTCAGGCACCAGCACTAGCCCTGGCAGAGCTTTCTTGCCACAAGCAGATCACACTGCCCCACCAGGCTGAGCCAGGAAGCTGAAGCTGTGGGTGCTACCTGGTAGCGGGGAGCTGAGGTATGAAAATCAAGGCCTATTTGGGGTGCATCTTGGAGGCAGGGTCGACGGCAGACTTGGATCTAAGGATCTGCCAACTGTTGATCCAATGGTTGGGGGAGATCCAGGAACAGGTCCCAGCCAGCCTGTTGCCTCTTCTCTGAAGACCAGGAGTGCAACTCTGCTGGGTGCTGGGCTGTGTCTTATGGCTGTGCAGTCTACCCCTGGAACCAAGGCAACCAGCAGAGGGGACATCTCATTGGTAAATTCTAGCACCCCCAAGGCCTATGCCCTGGGGGAGTGCCTCTGTGCAATTCTTTCTCCCAGAGGGAGCATCTTTTGGTAACTCATGCACCATTTGTGCTCTCAGTGGTCCTGGCCCGGAGAGAAACGGCTGCAGTAAGACTAGCATATGTCCTCAACGTCGGTGAGGGCCAGGTACATGAATGGCTCTCCAGAGCACAGAGCTCTAGCTCTTCCGTGTTTGGCTCCAGAGTCTTCTACCCTTTGTGGCTGCAGATCTCAAGGGTCTGCAATGACACTCACAGAAGAAGCCTTCCCCAGAGAACAGCAGGCAGACGCTTGACTTGGTGAGGGGCCTGCTGTCCTCAATGTTCGCTGGAGAGTCCAGAGTGGGCGCACAGGCCGCTGTTGCTTCTCTGCCAGGAAGAGGTAGAATCTGCTCCTTAGCAGTGTCCTGTGGAGTGTGAACCTGGCCTTCTCCTCCACAGCTCCACCGTGGCTGCTTTAGCCAACAGCATTCACTTCTTTGCTGCCAAACGCAAGGAATCTGCTTGATTCTTACCTCATTGTTTCACTTTTTTGACGTTAGGTGGCTGCACCATCAGGCACCTTGGCCTCTGTGTCTCCCCTTTTCTCTCTGATGGTACCTTTTCAGCCTCCTTCACTGGCTCCCCTCTGCCAGTAAATGCTGATGATCCTCGCCTCATTCACAAATCGCCCCTCCCCCCGCCTCCCCCACTTACTTTGCTTCTCCTGGGACTTTGACCCAATCTCTGTGACCTGCTGTGGGTCACAAATCTATATTTGCAAGTCTAAACTTTTCTCTTTGGCTACAGATTTATTTCGTTCTCTGCCTCGAGCTCCTGCAAGTACCGCAAACTCAAAATGTCTAAAACTGGGCTCAAGGCTGTCCCTTCTTCCACCTCGTCCCACGAAGTTACTTCAGGAAACAAAATTAGGACCCTCAGATCTATCTTCTCTTTCCTTTCTTCATTATTCACATTTGGTCACCTCATTCTGTCAAATTTACAAAGCACACTGTACGCGGTAAATCAGTGTCTGATGAGTGGATGGATGATGAACGAATGGAAGAAGGAAGAAGGGAAGATCTGGTACTCACAGAAATGGGAGGCAATGCCGTGTGCCACAAAGCACACTGCCCTTGGTGTTCTGTTCCCAGCTCTGTCGTAAACCCACTGAGAGATTTGGGCCTTCAGATTCCATCATCCTGTCATACCCACACTTCTCGGCGTAGAGCTTGTGTTTCTGGCTTTTCTTCTCTGACTCTGGGTCTCATTTCTACCTCAGTTTCCAGTTGTAAAGTGAATGGGTTAAACAAGATGATCTTCAGGCCCCTGCAGCTCTGAAATGATGGTGAAGGGGAGAATTCTTCCCAGTTCCTTAAAGATAGCTGATGGTCTGAAACTTAAACACAAAATCTCCTAAGAGGCCACTCGTCTGGGGTACGCCTGAAGGCATACACACAGTGGCCCATTATGACCTAACATCAAATCTGTCCTTCATCTCTATCCAGGTGGGTTTGAATCCATCCAGAATCTTCCAAATGATCTGAGCGGTGAGTAGAGATCATGCTGAACCTGACCTCCAGTCCTTCAGGACAGCATCCTGTCCTCTTGCCAAGAGCTGGCCACCATAGTTGCAGGTTCTTAGGGTTGCTCAACTCTGCCTGTCCCTTACAGCGTCCCAGCCCGAAGGCTTCAAGGAGGCCCAGCCTGGTGGAGCCTGGGAGGAGCACCAGGCTGTGGGCTCCAGACAGTCCAGCAGCTCCGAGGACTCCAGCCTGGAGGAGGAGCTCCTTTCAGCCGCCTCAGACAGCTATCACCTGCTGGAGCCCGATGACCTCGATGACCCGGAGCTTCTCATGGACCTAAACACTGGTCAAGAGGAGGAGGAGTCCGAGAACTTTGCCCCTATATTGGCTTTTCTGGATCACAAGGGTTACGCTGACCATTTTAAGAGCCTCTATGATTTCTCCTTCTCTTTCCTCACGTCTTCCTTTTATAGCTTCTCTGAGGAGGATGAGCTTGTGGCCTACCTGGAGGCCTCGAGGAAGTGGGCCAAGCGGAGCCACATGACCTGGGCCCATGCCCGGCTCTGCTTCCTCCTGGGCCGGCTGAGCGTCAGGAAGGTCAAGCTCTCTCAGGCCAGGGTGTACTTTGAGGAGGCCATCCACATTCTCAATGGGGCATTTGAGGACCTATCCTTGGTGGCTGCTCTGTACATCAATTTGGCTGCCATCTACCTGAGGCAGAGGCTGAGGCATAAAGGCTCGACCCTGCTGGAAAAGGCAGGTGCCCTGTTGGCTTGCCTGCCTGACCGTGAGTCTAGTGCCAAGAATGAGCTTGACGTGGTGGCCTATGTGCTGCGCCAGGGCATTGTGGTGGGCAGCTGCCCCCTGGAGGCCAGGGCCTGCTTCCTGGCCATTCGACTGCTCCTCAGCCTTGGCCAGCACGAGGAGGTCCTGCCCTTCGCCGAGCGCCTGCAGCTTCTCTCTGGACACCCTCCTGCCTCAGATGCTGTGGACACCATCTTGAGTTTTCTGTATGATAAGAAATATCTCCCACACCTTGCAGTGGCCTCTGTCCGGCAACGTGGTACCCAGAGTGCCCAAGGGATGTCCCTACCTATTTGGCAGGTCCACCTAGTTCTCCAGAACACCACCAAGCTCCTTGGAGTTCCCTCTGCAAGCTGGGGTGAAGTTTCCACCCTGGCCTGCCCGACACTCAGGCAGGCACTGGCTGCCTGTGAGGAGCAGGCAGATCGGAGCACCCAGAGGGCCCTGTGTCTCATCTTGTCCAAAGTGTATCTCCAGCACAGATCTCCTGATGGTGCCATCCACTATCTGAGCCAAGCCTTGGGACTAGGGCAGCTGCTGAGTGAGCAGGAAGCCTTTGAGTCTTCCCTCTGCCTGGCATGGGCCTATCTCTTAGCCAGCCAGGCAAAGAAGGCTTTGAACATCCTTGAGCCACTCTTATACTCCCTGAAGGAGACAGAGAGTGTTACCCAAAAGGGGGTGGTCCATAACCTCCTGGGACTTGCACTTCAAGGTGAAGGCCGGGTGAACAGGGCAGCCAAGAGCTATTTCCGGGCCTTGAACAGAGCCCGGGAGATGGGGGATGTGCGTAACCAGGCGGTGACTTTGGCCAATCTTGGCCACCTGACCCTTAAGTCCTGGGCTCAGGGGCCGGCCAGAGACTATCTCCTGCAGGCCGTCCGACTCTATTCTGAACTCCAGGCCAGCATGGAGACAGACATGGAATTAGTGCAGGTGCTTCTCTGGTTGGCCCAAGTCCTGGTGGACGGACGCCAGCTGGCCAGTGGCCGCCTCTGTTATGAAACGGCATTGCTGTTTGGCTTAAGGCATCGACACCTAAAAAGTGAGTATGTCCGGGGCTGCTGGGAAGCTTTAGAGAAATGTGTTAGAGCGCGTTTTGCCTTTGTCCTATCTCAAGTCATCTCATTCATGTCCCTGCTTCACGTTCAGGTCAGCTTCAGGTCACCAAATCCCTCTGCCATTTCTACAGCTCTGTGTCCCCAAACCCTGAGGCATGTATCACCTACCACGAGCACTGGCTAACCCTGGCTCAGCAACTCAGGGACCGGGAGATGGAGGGGAGGCTGCTGGAGTCCCTCGGGCAGCTCTATCGGAACCTGAACACAGCCAGGTGAGTCCAAGCTGAGGGACAGTCCTAGAAACATCTTTTCTTCCTTAAGGAGAAACAGTCTTCTTTCTCCCGGGAAGTCAAGTCCAAATGCACATGGTATGTTTATGGCATCGTGGAAAAGAAGGTGGGCTCTGCAGCCACCACATAGTGCAAACCCAGTGCCATCCCTCACTTATTAACTGTGTGACTTTGGGAAAGTTATTTAATTTCTCCATGCCACAGTTTCCTCATCAGTTAATGCATGTGGAACACTTGGAACAGTGCCTGATATGTAGAAAGGGCTCAGTCATGTTGGCTTTGTTACAAGTACTTGTGTGTTTCCATAACAATCCATCACGTGACCATGGCTGAGGGTGCATAATTCAGAGAGGTGGCAGTTACACGGAGGACTGTGGAACCCTCAGGAGGTCTTCCTTACCTGAGGACAATTGGTGTTAGAGAAAAGACGCTTAAAATAAATAAATCCACTGAAAGCAGGTGTATAAAATTTCACGGTAAAAAAAGTTTAATTGGGGCCTTACCTTTACAATGAAACTGGAAATTATAAAACTAAGTTTATTTTCACCTTTTAGTTAAGAAACTTATGTTATAGTTGCAACTATGCACTAAGTGGTGGAATAAACAAACAGCAAAAGAAGTGTCTATTTTTTAGCTTGTATTGACAAGATTTTGTAACGCATAATGAAACAGCCTATGTTTTGTGATTGGCTTTCAGCACTCTCTTAGAAAGGCTCATTTTTGCAAAAATATACCAAAACTTAACTGTTTTACCCAAAGGCTTCTTTTAACTTTTTGATATTTAAATCATTCTCATATGAAATATCTTGCCATCTCCTGCTGATTTTCTCTTCTTCATCTCTTTGTTGGTCTCATCTGCTTGATCCTCATTTGCCAGTGGTGTGGCCTGCAGTTCTGCTCTCTAACAAGCCTTTAACTGATTCCATTAAATTCTGCATGGTTTGCAAGATATTCAGTTTCATTTTACAACAAATTAGCTGTAGCATTGTATTCATAATTACAAATGACTTCTAAAATAGACAAGGGATAATTGCTAGTGTTGAGCAGAGAGAGGTGATTGAGGAGAAGCTAATTAAATGACAGTTTTTGCTTTTCTAGGCAATATGATAACCTTGGGCACCTGGGCAATCAAATCAGATAGCGAATTCTCTCTCTCTCTCTCCCCCCTCCACTCTGTCTCCCTCTCCCTCACCCTTTCCCTTTCTTACAAGAATCTGGTGTCCTCCACATCTCCCATTGTCTTTGCCTTCAGTCCCAGGAAGGGAGTTCTGGGTCCTTGCAGCATGTGAGGGGACAGGAGGCCTGGCCCCAGCCCCTCCCTGCTTCCGTTCCAGGACACACTAGGAGTTTGGATGGTTCTGGAGCAGACCCAGGAGGCAGGCTTAAATTAATCTCAGAGATGAAATAGTTCATATGTTCATGGTCAGACGTTGGAGGCATGGGCTTTGGGAAAGCTGGATTTTAAGAGACTGCAGCAAGGATGGCGAATACTTGTCAGGTTTATTGCCACTCCTCCCCGTGTGCAAGTTCAGTCTCAGATTAATTGCTGCTCCCAGCCATTGCCTACCCCACAGCCATCCTTTGCTCACCAGTCTTCCTCCCATCTCTGGTTGTTAAAAACTGCTGAAATCCTAAGGGGGAAGCCAGAGAGAAAGCCCTGGTCACTGTCAACACAGACTGCAGAGGCCTCACTTAAGCCGGTGTGGAGGATCACTGTACCTCCTAGGTGATGGGGGTGATAGAGAGGAGGTAACAAGTGGGGTTGCAGTTGCTCCAAGAAGTGATGGAGGCAGTGGGAAGCTACAGAGCTGGAAGAGGAGCAACCGAATCTGGATTCGCGGTCAGGAAACCTGATCCTCCACGAGCTACTAACGTGTCCTTCAACAAGTGATTTCTCCTCTCGGTTGCCCCATTTCTAAAGTTAAATTGAATGAGGTGCCTTCCAGTTCTAAAATGTTGAGTCTAGGACCAGCCAGCTATGCTATTCTAACACTGGCAGTAGCCGTATTAGTACCAGAATTCCTGCTCCAAATTTCTCCAAAGAGTCTTGAATTTTGGGGGCAGATTCTTAAAGTTGTGGTTCTTCTAGAGGGCTTTTTGGATCAGAGACCTAAGCTTTTGTGTTTTTGAAGGGCTCTGCAGTAGGTTCGGAAGGTCTTGATGTAGTGACCATAAACTCCGTGCAGGCAGACATTATGTTTAGCATAGAACTTGGCACAGAGGAGACATACAATACATGTTTGTGGGGGCAGCCACATAGTTAGTTAGTCCATTAGCTCACAGCCCTTGAGCTACAGCTACATGCTGACTTGGCTGCTGGAGAGGAGATTAAGATGGAGAATGAGGGAGTCCCTGGTTTCTTGCTCAGGGCTCAGGTAAGGAAAAAAGGTGCTTGCAACTTGGAGGCAGGCTCTCTGGTCTTCTGTGACAATTACAATTGTCAGAGTGCTGTCAGTGGAACCTCAGATGCCCCTTCCAGCAACCTGTTGAGAACCTGGCCTACGTAGTACTAGCTACAGAACACAGTGGGTCTTTTCTTAGGGAGCTTCCACTGATAAGGAATCAAATAACAGTGAATTAGAATATCAGAGATTTCCACCCAAATCAGGAATATGGTTTTTTCTAACGTTAAAGGTGTTTAAAATTATAATATTTGCTTACGATAAAAAAAAATGTTAAACCAGTATTGAAGGTTATAATTTGAAAAATAAAGATCCCCACCCAACTTCCCTTTCCCTAAGACTCTTCAGAAGAAACTGCTTACAGATTTTTAAATATCCGTCAAATATTCCATACATATGAAAGATTATGTATGATACATATTCTCTATATTAAATATATGTTACATATATAATATGCACATTTTTTAGTTACTTAAATGGGATCATGATAAAAGTTCTGTTACATAATATACTCTTCTGTTATTTGTTTTTTTCATTTAAAAATATCACTACAAAATGTTGATGCAGCATTTTATCGCACTATGAGAACCCTTCTAATGTATTAGGTACTATGGTAGGTGGTGGGGAATTCAATGCTTAGGAAAAAAATTTCCAAAAGAACTCTCCAAAATGGAGTAGTCCACCCTGTGTGGGAGTGAGTGGGTCATCATTACAAGTATTCAAGCAGAGGCTGGCTAGTCACGGATCTTATGGAAGAATTTCCTGAATTGAGATTTTTAGTAACAGCTTATTGAGATGTAATCACATAAAATTCAGTCTGTAAAGTATAAAATTCAGTGATTTTAGTGTATTCACAGAGTTGTGTAACTATCACCACTATCTAATTTCAGAATATTTTCATGGCCCCTAAAAGAAACCTTATACCCATTAGCAGTCACTCCCTGTTAACCCACCCCCACCCAGCCAGACAATCACTAATCTACTTTCTGTCTCTATGGATTTGCCTATTCTGGACATTTCATATAAATGGAATCATACAAGATATGGCCTTTTGTGACTGGCTTCTTTCCTTAGGGTAATGCTTTCAAGGTTTATCCACAGAGTCACGTGTGTCAGTATTTCATTCCTTTTTATTGCCGAGTAATATTCCATTGTATGAATATATCACATTTGTTTATCCAGTCATAAGTTGATAGACATTTGCATTGTTTCCACTTTGTGGCTATGATGATTAATGCTGCTATGAACATTTGTGAACAGGTGTTTGTGTGAATATACTTTTCCAGTTCCCTTGGGTATGGGATTCTCTTGGGAGTGGAATTGCAGGGTCATATGGTAACTCTATATGTAAACTTTTGGGGAACTGCCAAAGTAGCTACACCATTTTACCTTTGTGTGGCAATGTTTGAGGGTTCCAATGTCTTCACATTCTCACCAGTACTTGTTATCATCTGTCTTTTTTATTTCAGCCATCCTAGTAGGTGTGAAGTGGTGTCTCATTGTGGGTTTGATTTACTTTTCCCTAATAGCTGAAGACGTTGAGTTTCGTTTCATGTGCTTACTGGTCATTTGTGTATCTTTGTTGGAGAAATGTCTGTTCAAATCCTTTGCCCGGTTTTTAATTGCATTGTTTGTCTTTTAATTGTTCAGTTGTAAGAGTTCTTTATATATTCTGGATAAAATTCTCTTATCAGATATATGATTTGTAAATATTTTCTCCCAACCCGTGGGTTTCTTTTCACTTTCTTGATGGCATCCTTTGAAGCACATACATTTTTAAATTTGATGAGGTTCAATTTATCTATTTTTTTCTTAATCCTTCCCTAATCCAAGGTCACAAAAATTTACCTCTATGTTTCCTTCTAAGAGTTTTGTATTTTCAGCTCTTACATTTAGGTCCATCAGCCACTTTGAGTTAATTTTTGTATATGGTATAAGGTAGGGGTCCAGTTTTATTCTTTTGCATGAATCTCCTGTTGTCCAAGTACCGCTTGTTGAAAAAGTTATTTTTCCCTATTGAATGTCTTTGGCACCCTTGTTTAAAATCAGTTGTCCATAAATGTAAGGGTTTATTTCTGAGGTCTAAATTCTATTCTATTGATCTATACGTCTAGCCTATGCCACATTACACTGTCTTGTTTATTACAGCTTTGTGGTAAGTTTTAAATTGGGAAGTGTGAGTCCTCTAAACTTGTTATTCTTTTTCAAGATTGTTTTGGTGATTTCGAGTCCTTTGCCATTCCATATGCAAGTTAGCATCAGCTTTTCAATTTCTGCAAAGAAGCCAGCTGGGGTTTTGATAGAGATGATGTTGAATCTGTAGATCAATTTGGGTAAGCATTGCTGTCCTAACAATATCATGCCTTCCAATTCATGAACGTGGGATGTCTTTACATTTCCTTAGGTCTGCTTTAATCCTTTTCAACAGTGTGTTGCAGTTTTTAGGGTATAAATTTTGCACTTCTTTTGTTAAATGTATTCTGAAGTAGTTTTTGATGCTATTGTAAATGGAGTTGTCTTCTTAATTTTATTTTCAGATTGTTTATTGACAGTGTATGGAAATATAGTTGATTTTTGTAT